TCAAGTAGAAAACTTGGAGATATGAGAGGTTTTTTGGTGCTGGGATAATCATATCCCACATATCCATTTCTAACTACAGTGCCCTCCAAATTCTAAAGATGAAGCTTAATAGAATATTTTATTCTCTTTCTCATCTCCTAAAAGCATGGTTTTTGCTCATTTTTTGTTACTGTGTGGAACAGCGATGGCGCTGAATTTAAAAGATGAGGTTTTTTCATTTCTACTGAAAAAAAAATCAGTAAAAGTGGATTCCTGGAACTTGGCTGGCTCATTCATCATGGGGAGCATAGGTGTCATGGGGCTCATCTGGGGTTGGCACTGATGAGAAAACAGGCCTCAACTTTTAGAGCATTTGGTATTTTGTGAAAGCTGTTGTTTAATTCTTACATGTAACATATAGCTCCTATCAAGGAAGTATTAAGCAAAATGTTCTTATTAGCTACAGTCTCAATCACAATTTGCAGAAGTGAAGAGCTCAAAACCAGCTTGTGAACTACACTGACAATCTCGACATCAAAGTGATGGTAAAAGATAGATTTGCAGTCACAGCAAAAGTTCAACCACTTTTTCCTTGCCAGAATCATCTTTCCCCACCGCATCCAGAGACACCAAACTGCTGTTCTTCCTTTAAACAGTGACATTTCTATGCCATTAGAAGAGCTGACGGACAGTGTAGGGGGCAGAAGGACACCAGAGCCCAGTATACCCACCCACAGTCAGCACTTGCATAAAAGTCAGCTGCAAACCTACAGCAATGTCCTCGTAAAATTTTATTTAAAAAGAAAGTCCCCAGAGAATCCCACTGACAAAGTAGTAGTTCCTGTTCTCCACGGATGGTCTGGAAAAAAAAATGTAAAACTAAAGGAACTACTTAAGGTATAACCTTCTTCTGTAAGCCCTTCTGCCCTGCTGTAACATTCATTCAGTGCAACAGGAAGATTTTCTCCGCCTTCCAGTAAACTTCAGATCACAATATTTTTGGAATTTTGGTTCTGCATTTTAGAAGTTTCATTAGAGTAATTTGCTATTGGTACAATTACAACAGAAATAAATTTGGCATTTAAGGCCAAAATAGACCTTGATGCCCAGAGGGAGGCCATACATAAGATATCATCTGTCTGGTTCAATCCTGGAAATTTTATCGTCTATTTAAGTTGCTTGATTTTGTTGCTGTTGTTCGAAAGTAGTTTTGAAACATAAAAAAACCCAACCAAACACAAAAGATAAAACTTAATTTTCCAGCATTCTCAGACCTATAAAACAAAGAGGAAGATACCACAAAACTCACAAACAGCTTCATTTTGAAAAACAAATTTTGTAGCAGAAGAGTATCAACAGATGCTTTCACATGGTGAACTGTGTTTTTGGCTCAGCTCCATGAGTCCTCTGAACCACACTGCTTTGCACCCCCAACTGGGAGACCAAAGTGTGCTTTGTGCCAGTATGAGTGAGAAAGTGAAAGGGGGATCTTGCTCAACCAACAAACCCAGTCCTCAGCCAATGGGAAACACCTTTATTTGGAAACCTACGAAAGCCTCTGACAGGTTTTCGCAAGAGACACGGAACAAATCAGGTCACTGTGGTACAAATAAGGAGGCCTGTAAAGCCTTGGCAATGCTTCCAAGAGGACACCCAGCATAATTTGGATGCTGCTTCCCTGGTCTCTCGCAACTATAGTGGTGACCTGCCACCTACATTGAATTTAGCAATGAAACACTAACCGAAAGAAGGGACAATCCAACCAGTGACTCACATTGCCAGAAGCTAATGGAACTTTACTTTCCGTGGTCAAAACCAAAAGATTAAGAGGCAAAGCACTCCTTTCAACCCAGCCCTTACCCAGAGTTCTTAGTGTACAAAAGGGGACATAAAGCACGGCTCTGCAGGCAAAGAAGGTTCAACCAGCCTTTAGAAACCCATCACAAAACTTCTATGTGCTCCATGCCATGTTGGTAGCACATTATACCAAGAGATCCAGGCCTTGTTTGTGCAAACATCCAAGCCTGGCACCTCTAAAATGCTGTCTGTAAGAAAAATTAATTAACCCGCCAAAATGTCTCAGGGTGATAATCAATGGCCCAGTGGTTAAATGGAGATCCTGCACTGCTACCAGAAGCCCCTAGTCTGCATGGTGCAAGTGGCAATGCACACTCCAGTGACATGAGTAAGAAGAGTAAAATAAAGAGGAAAACAAAGAGTGACTAAGAAGTAAAGGTGCGATCCTTATGTAAGGTACAGTGTAGTGAAAAATAACCTTACACCATTACTTTTTAGTAAGGAAGCAGTTGTAAGTCTACATTTAAACTAAATACCTGAAACGTTAGTGTGGTTGAATGTATTCTCTAACTTGCTCCTTGGAGTAATGCCCTTAGTACCTTTTAGCTAAATATTCCAAACTAAACTTTGCATACCAATATTTTAGTGTCTCAGATGACAAGCACCTGGGCCCATCATGTGAGTGTCTCACCACCTTAGGAACTCCGAGTGAGATTCAGCTGAGAGGGGAGTTGTGGAAACCCTCACCCACACACTGTGGGATTCAGGGCCAGATTGCAAAGAGTAGCTTGTTCCCAAAGTGAGCATGTAGTTTATATGAGAAAAGATAAAGATCCGCTCATCCATGAATGAGAAAGTGAACTTGCCCTGTGAATACTCCTGGGTCTGAGAAATCCAACAAAAATGCAGTTTAATCTTCATAGCTGCCATTGCAGCCTTTCTGTGTGTGGGTTGTATTTGACCGTCAATTGAGAAAAATCTCCAGCATTAGCCACAGAAAATTTTCTTTGCTACTGCTTCCTTTTGAGAGTATAGTACACATCCTTCAAAAAGAATATGCCTTCAGTTTGATTTGCAAAGTCTCCTCGCCTCAGTCAGCCAGGTGTCAAGAAACAGATGTAGTTTGTGAACTGAAAGTCAGTGCCTAAATCAGCACAGACAGAGAGGGAGACACATACCCCACACAGCCAAGGGGAGTCTCTCAGCCTCGGTGCCATCCTGCAAAGCACCAGAGATAACACCAGGATCGAGCCCGAGGGGCAGCAGAGGCAGGAGAAAGTACCAGGATGACAGAGGTTTGCAGTCTTTTCTCTTACTGCCTTTTCTGCCCCTTCTCAGAATTTTCCTGTCTTCTTGATACATTAGAGACCATATTACATTAACTCATTAGGATACACTAACAAATATATATAGATACCATAAAATTCACCTTTTCTCTAGTTCTTACAGAATCTTCCCTTTCCCAGCTGAACAGAATTGGGATGCCAGCTAGTAACAGATGCCCAGCCCACTGTCCAAGCAGAACAATCTCCAAGCAGGACCAGCATAAAGAGTATGGTCCTATTCAAACCCAGCAACCAAGCTCTGCTGCAGGCAGTTTATGGCATAGGGCTCAAGTTGACCGAAAACTTGCATAAGCTCATCACATTTTTAGTCTTCCATTTGGCATTCAGATCTAATCAGTGAAAAAGGATGAAAGTTTAAGTACAAACAAGATGGACTAAAGACTACGGAAAGAACAAATAATAAAGGATAAAAAAGGATCTGAAAGCAGAAAAAACAAATATCAATGCCTGGAAGTTACTTAAATCATTCTTTCTCATTGTTACATTACAGGAAAAAGAGAATTCTGGTTTTTTTCTCAGTGCTAAGAAATTCGAGTTGGATTCTTGCCTCAGTAAGTCAGTGCAAATCCCAAGTAACACTGTTCACCTCAACAATTCTCTGCATTTTAGCAAGAGTCCTTGAGAATACAACCAAATGCAGGCAGACACAGTGTCCTCTCAGATGAGCTGTCACCTGCTATAGCCACAGGTTCCATTAAACATGCAGAACCAAAATAGCTCTGGAATCAGTGTCAGACAGTGACTGATAGCTGGGAAAGTGCCAAAGGAATTATTACATTCCATTCATTTATTAGTTTAATATATATTACAAAATCTGTTGGCATTCAAGGAGCATGTGGGTGACACATGGTTTAGTTTTAGATAATCCTGTGAGGAGCAGAGCGTTGGACTCAATGATCCTTGTGGTTCCCTTCCAGCTCGAGATATTCTATGACTTGATAAGTGAACAGCACTGTCTCAGGCAGGAGTAGGTGATTTCATGGACAAAGGTCAACAAACAAATTTCAAAGGAAATAGGCAGGGATGGCCAGTCTCACATCACTAATCTAATAACTTTGACTGTTGAAGAGTAGGAGGCAAAAAGGCTACGAAATGTGGCCAAGGCTGAAGGCAAAGGACTGGCTGAGCTGGGCAGCTCCTCAGACCCAGGGAATTTCATATGTTTTTCATATTCACGTTTATGTCCCTAAAGTTACTGTTCCATTTTACTGTGTATGAACCAAGATGCTGCCTTCCTCTGATTGGATAATTTACTGTTATTTAAAAATATTTACAAATTACATTTTCCTACTGTAATGCTCACATTCCTAAGTAATTATTATATGCCCCCTTCCAGACCTACATGCCTACAGGGGGGGAGTGGATCTACATTTGTAGGATTTTTCCTTTTTGTGAAAACCTGTACATTTCAGAGTGTACTCCACTGCTGTGAGTCCCACAGAATCTTCTGAAGCTGACTGTGGGCCATCTCCATCCTCAGCAGAACTGTGAGAACCTGCCTAAGCAAAAAACCTGAGAAATTTGCCAACCAACAAGTCAAGGGTGTTTTACTTTTTAAACTTCCCAGAATAGTATGAAACCCCAAGTATGTAGTGGGGAAACATTCAGATCTTACAACACTAGTATCTGCTCTCTGTCTTGTCTGTCATTACCCACACATAGCTACTGCTCCATCTTTAATACAGACCAGTTTGAAGGACAGGTGAGTCTAAAGCCACCTATCCTGTCAAATAGATCCAAAATTCTTTGGGAACAGAATTATCTCTATTGATTATGTGCCAGTCAAGCACCAAACTGTAGTTTCGATCTTGATTTACTGCTGCCTTTGGGCAAAGACAGGCCAGGATTATCTGGCTGTTCCTTTAAGGGAATGTGGATGCTGGAAGAAAGCCAACTGGAGGCAATTTCAAAGGAGGTGTCAGAGCAAGCTGAAGTACCAGAAAAACAGGAAAAGCATAAAACCCAAACAGAGTCCAGTAGCTGCAATACACACAGGACGGCCAGAAGAAAGACTGGAAACACTAAAAGGAGACTTTTCCCCTGGAAGTAAGAAAGGAAGAGCTCCAGCAGACAAGGTACGATTATATATGAACACTGGAAATCAGAAATCCTCCAGTGACAAGGGAAACTGGGAGAAAAGAAGAGAGCTGTCTGGTGGGGAACTGGCAGGCTGGGTCAGACTGTGTGGGAGAAGAGCTGACAGCTCGGGCACCAAGAATTGCAGGAGGAAACAGAGAATTGTTTTGCTGCAGAATAACACCAAGGCATCCTACCATATCTTGAAAAGTTAAGAAAAGCCTAGATTTATAAAATATGAAGTGACCATATGGGGTGACTGAATGGGAACAAATTGGATCCTTTCCCCTAATGCACCAAGGCACAGCTCTCGCTGTCAGAGGTTTGTGATTATGAATGCAGAAAGGAGTGGTTATACGAGCAGCTGCAGAGCTGAGCCGGGGCTGCACTGGTGGCCAAGGGCTGGGGTGTGAGGAGAACACACACCCCAGTGTGGATGGGGTGGCACCCACCTCCCACTCCCCAAGGGCAGAGTGGGCTGCCCCTGAGAGCCCTCAGCCCACTGCCTTTCCCAGCTCAGCACCAGTGGCAGGTTTTTTTCTGCACAGCTGCTTCATTCAAGTGGGAAACTTCTCATCTGACTTCCCTGCCAGCCTAACACAGGCACCTCAAAAACTACCGACCAGAGGTACATGTCTAGCCAAAACCCCCAAACAGTGCATGTGCTGGGGCTGGAGGGATGCAGAGACCAGGGCACACCTGAAGTCCTTCTGTATACAGTCAAACCATAAATTACTAATTAGGCGCAGCCCTGCCACCAATGGGCAGCATCAGAGGGGCAGCACACAGCACCCTGCAAGCCCTGGGCAGACAGCAGCTTGCCCCACTCACCTCCAAGGTGTGGGACGTTTTGAAAGGATCCATGAGACCTTCTGCCCTTGTGTCACACAGCCTGCTGTGGGGAGAGCAAACATGGCAAGTCCCAAAACAGACTGGAGCAGAGAATCTAGGATGGGAAGGGAAAAGTATGGCCTGGCTAAGTCACAGAGCTAACTTGTACAAATGTCCTTCATTACAGTGCAAGAGATGCTCTTCACGCCCCTCTTTTTGATGCCTTTCTCAGAATCTCAGGATACCACATGAAGCGTTCACATGGCATCAGGGTGCTGTAAAGCTTTAATGATTATCATGTGAAATAAAAGCAAAGGGATGTTATGGTGACTAAATGAGTGTTATTCTGGGCAGGGCCGAAACTAGTCCTGCCAAAGCCACGTTTGCAGCAGACCAATATTACAACAACTGGGAAGGGAGGAGGAGTAGAAACGCTTCCTTCCTTAAATGCTTGGAGTATCTCACGATCCTCCCGTACTCGTTTTCCCTTTGCTGGGGTTGCCTTGCCCTCTAGTGGTTCACACTACAGAGCTGAGTTCGTTTCTGCTGCAAGTCCTCTAATGTTGATGTTTTCAGCCATTATGCAGCAAAGAAAATAATTCCAATTCCCCCTGATCTCCACCCATCTCTTAGTGCATCAGGCCATTAGTAAAATGTGCTGCCATCTGCGAAGTTAGAAAAGAAAATGCATAATGCCTACTGCCTTATATATTATATATATCACATCCTGAAAAAGAGCATCCTCTGTCCATCCAGTCTGGAGAAATGTACTCATCAGGACATGAATATTTTTGGCTGAATAGCTCTTTCTTCAGCTTTTACAGAAAAAATTGAGAAAAAACACTACTTCATTTTTAAGATTAAAACTTTTGCCTAAGGGAAAAGTTCTCAAGAGGGAAGCAGATAAAAACCAAAAGCAGAATGGTGGAAATCCCATCTGCTTATTAACAACCTCCAAAAGGCTTCAAAAGATAAACTGGATGCATTTAGATTCCTGACATTGCCTATACCAACATGAATATGGACTATAACTTACTGTCTGTTTCCTTTGCATGCCCCCATGACACTCATTTTGACTTCTCTTTGGGCTCTCTCCAGCAGAGTAGCAAATTTTAATCTATTCCATTATCTCACCTAGAGACAACATGAAAAATATCTGCTTCATTTCATTTTAGTACAGACTATTATCTTCCGTGACCAGTTTTATAGATGGAAGATACGATGTCTTTATCCAAACTTGATTTCTGATGCAGTTAATTCCAGATTGTCAATTAATGACCGTCTGGCTTGATATCCTTTGTGTATTTATTAGCAACTCCCATCTGCTGGGCTCCAGAGTTACCAGCTCTCCATAAAAGGAAAGACACGCACATCTAGGAGCCAAGGGAGAAAAAACAGCAACTGTGAACTAGTTACTTGTCACTCAACAAGGTGCTTGGCTGTGATCAGTCATGGTGTCAAAGGAAATCTCCATGCTCAGCTGTCTTCAGCCACTTCTGTCTAGAAAGGCTTTTCCTGTGTTTATCTTGGTCAGTGCACATTGAATGACAGTGTAGTTTGTCTCCCAGTTAAAGATCTTCCAATTCATTCTTTATGCACTTTCTACAAAGACAGAGAGGCAGCAGACAAATGTAAGGAAAAGCTGTTCACTTTAACTTTATAAAGAAAAATGTTTTCCAACTGTCAACCTCTAAAGAGCACTCCTTAGCATTAGAAATCACAAAATAGAAATTAATTACAAGACCTCTTTGCACTTGCATAGGCAGCATCATCCCTCTAACAAACCTTCTCTTTGGCTTTGCTACAGAGGCCATGGGCTGTTGGAAGCAAGAGAAAAGCAACACCTGGACTTTTCCCACCCTGATTCTCTGCCTCTATGGATTCTTCTACATGATGAAACCATCAGAACCTTTCCTAACACCATATCTAACAGGACCAGATAAAAACCTAACCACAGATGAGGTATGGTTTTACTCTGATGTTTCTTTTACTTGGAGCAGCAAAAATAGAAAAGGAAACCTTTGTTTAAAGGATTTAAACAAAGATCAAAAGAAAAAAAACCATAACTGTAATCAGCTTTGGCAGGTTACAGTTTGCAGCAGACAGCATAAATAAAAGATCCATTTAATGGATCTAACATCCATTTGCCTGCCCAACAGTCCCATGCTGCTTCAGTGTGGTTATATATTTTATGAATTCCTTCAGAGCAAAAACTTCCCTCTACAAAGCTATAAAAAATGCATGAACTTCCTTTTCCTGAGAATAAAGACACAGACATTTCCTCTTCTGTTCTAGGTTACCAACCAGATTTTGCCCGTTTGGACATACTCCTACCTTGCCCTCCTGTTCCCAGTCTTCCTGCTCACAGACTACCTGCGCTACAAGCCCGTCATCCTCCTCCAGGGCATCAGCCTCATCGTCACCTGGCTCCTGCTCCTCTTCACACACGGAGTGCTGGCCATGCAGGTGGTGGAATTCTTCTACGGGCTGGTGACGGCCACTGAGGTGGCCTATTACGCCTACATCTACAGCGTGGTCAGCACCGACCGCTACCAGAGGGTGACGAGCTACTGCAGGAGCAGCACTCTGGTGGCAGCCACTGTTGCCGCCGTGCTGGGACAGCTGCTGGTGTCCTTGGCAGATGTGTCCTACTTCTACCTCAACGCCATTTCTTTGGCTTCCGTGTCCCTGGCCTTCCTGTGTGCGTTTTTCCTCCCCATGCCCCAGAAGAGCATGTTCTTCCACAGGAAAGATGCCTCCCAGTCTCTCCCAGGGCCTGACAAAGTTGTGACTCCGGCCGGTTCTGACCGTCCCTCGAGCTGCCAAGAGGACACGAGCCCTGACTCCGCTGGCAGGGGCCCAACACCCCAACAGCAGGCTGGGAATGCCAAGCCTCGGAATCACATGCTCAGAGTGCTGGTGCAGCTGAGCAAGGACCTGAGGGATTGCTACAGCTCCAGGAAACTTCTCTACTGGTCCCTGTGGTGGGCTCTGGCTACGGCCGGATTTAACCAAGTGCTGAATTATATCCAAGTGCTGTGGGATTTCCGAGCCCCCTCTCACAGCTCCGCAGTGTACAATGGAGCTGTCGAAGCACTAGCAACTTTTCTGAGTAAGTTAATGTCTAAACATTGATCACAAAGGCAGTCTATAAAGTTTTACTTGAGAGAGCTTTTAAAGTGCCATTCTAAGGCACGCCAGGGAGCCACTGCACACACTATGCCTTCCAGACCTCATTCTTTGATCTACAACAGTTCAAATATGAGCTATGCTGCTTTTTCTTTAGGACCAGATAACCAACTCTGTCTTCCCAGTATGCAGAAAGTGTGCAATTTACACAGACTTTATATCCAGTTGGTAAATCCGTTCAGAGGCACTTGTGTGTCTTTGGATGAGGCTATCAGGTGGGGTTTTTTTCCCAAAACAGTATGGCACTGTTCCCATAACAATGCTATCAGCTTACACAGATGGGAGAAATTATTCCTAAACATTTTACACCAAAAGAACATAATCCTCTAATTAAGATCTTTTTCTAGTGAAATACTCTTGTGCAGCTGGAAAAAAAAGAAGAATTTTAGTCATTGCAAGATGCAGAGATTTGCAGAAAAAGACCCCATTGAATTCCTTACGTGACTGATGTTAAGTATTCCACTTTTGCACCAGGAGCAGATGCTCACACCACAAAAGCAAAGTGAGGTTATCAAAAGGTAACATCAGAGAACACCATCCTACCTTGGCAGAGTTTCACATAATCACATTGTGCTGCTGTAGAGAACTTGCACAAGACTTTGGGGTGTGATCCACCAGGGAAAATAAACATATCTACATCACACCTAGTCATTCAGGTTACCCTTACAGTCATTAAGGAGAAATAGATACTACTCTTGTCTTGAGGCAGGCAATTAAGCAGACCAAGTGAATCATGAATTAGAATATTTTTCTCCTTGACAAATTCCTCTTTGTCCTGGAATTGCCTATTTCTCCGTGTAGAAGTACAGAAGATATTAAATCAGGTGCCTTATCTTTGCAACAGATGCACCTTCTAGGAGGCCCCCCAAGAGCAAACAGTGCTTATCCTTTCTCATTTCCTTGGATACACTCTTCTGATACCTCACAAAATTCAATTTTTGGCAGCTTACCTCCTTTATGAGGTGCACGGAGCTAAATTGCTACATCATCAGGTTTACTAGCCTAGCTGTGCGGTAAGCTAGGAGAAGCTGGAAGAAACTTTTTGAGTTCCAAACTGTGTTCCCAGTTCTCTCCCTAGAGATACTTGCTGGGTACAGACAGCCAAATAATCAATCCTTCTACATTACAGTTTATCCTGTCAAGTGGAATAAAGTACTAAGAACAGAATGGCAGAGACTTGATTTATGCAGTTGTCTAAAAGTGACCAGTTATCTGCATGGCTACAGAAGTCATCAGAAATGCTTTCAAATTTCAGAACTACTCTGCTTCATTTTTTGGCATTGCCTTTTGGCACATGAGGGTGGCAAGATTTGGTGATACAGGCTATGGAACACATACAACATTTATACATTTTTCTCTTTTTCTAGGCTCAGTAGCGTCTTTCCTAGTACAATATATGAAAATTAACTGGGACCTGTTTGGAGAACTGGCTTTAGGGATCTTCTCTGCAGTAGATGCCGGTTCTCTACCAACATCTGGGCATGTTATGCTGGCTATCTCATTTTCAAGGCCTGCTATATGCTCCTCCTGACAATAGCAACGTGAGTATAAAACCTGACAGTGCTGCCTTTATGCACAGAATGCTGACCCTACCTCAAGTTTGCTTTGGGCACCCCTCCTCTTCCTCAGAGAAAGAGGACCTAATGCTAGACATAACTGTGTGGGTAAATACAAGGACACTTAAAGGTCTGATTATGTTGCTTTCGTTCTTCTAAACAACCACAAAAGAAAAATTATCAAAATTTTTGAATATTCATAAAATTGAATGTTTAACTAGGCAGAAGTTAAACAAAGTACAAGGTAACTTTAGTGCTAAAGGGAATGGTAACAGCAAAATGCAGAAGCTGTTTTCCTTCTTTCTTGCAGGAAAGATGCAAAGTGAACAATAGGGACAAGCATACCTTGACAGCCATCCTATAATGTCTAGACCACCTGCTGATAAACCTTTTAGCATGCCATGAACTGCATGAATTCAAGAAGGTTTGACATAGAGCATTCCCCAGTGTCATTTTATACACATAATACTTAAAGATATTAGGATGTAAAGAAGGAGTAAAAGAGAACACTGGACAAAATCTCTTAGGAGACCAAGCTATAATAATAATATTAATAGCAAATATTATATCTAATCTGTGCAATAAATATGTTATTACTCCAGTTATTTAATTGCTTGGAATGTCTTTAGACATACCACACTAGTTCACTACCAGAAATACCAGACGCATTTTATGTCAAAACCCAAAATTAGTCAGAAACCATTTTAAAAAAATTGCTAAAATTATAATGCATGGCAAGATTATGCCTATCTCAAATGAAGCCAAGTGAACTCTTTGTTTTCATTTTGGTTTATTGCTACCACATTATACTAAATCACACCTGAACTATTTCAAAATATTCTACCAAAACAAAACCCAACCAACCAACCAAAACCAACAACAACAAAAAGAGTCAAGGCTTGCACATAAAAAACATGCTAAAATCAATTAAAGTGAGTCCTGAAGGAATAATACCCTTTTGTTCAGATATAAACTCTGCAGGTAGATATTGTAGGGAAAGATTTCTAACTATTATCAAAAAAGATATTGCAAGTAAAATCTACAGGCTCTTGACAGAAATAAACAGCATGCTACCCCCACTGTCAAGCCCCAAAGCAAAAAGCGACTCACATCATCACAGAAAATTTGATTGGAAGATACCCACAGTGACCTTCTGGTCTGACATCCCAGCCAGGGCAGAACTGCTGCCACAGCCAGATCAGGTCATGGCTTCGCCTGGCCAGGTCTCTGAAAGACCCCAACCACGGAGACTTTACAGCCTGTCTGGCACAGTCTGTGGGGGTTGAGAAGGAGCAAAGGGTTAAAGAGAACTGATATTGTACCAACCACCTGATAGTATGGTTTGGAAAAGCAGCACAGACAAGTAAAAAAACCCACCAAAATACACTATGGTACTAAAGGCTTTCTATTTTAGAGTAAGCAAGGAAGCAAACAAACAAATGAAGAACTGTTTACTCTGTCCTTGATGTATCATCTCCATGAATCATTTCTCTTCACTGACTGACTGGAGGGCAATAACTGGAAAGTCACTGACCTGCCAGTCTCACATTAGGTTCCAGATTGCCATCAATCTGAGCATGGAACGCTATGCTTTGATGTTTGGATTCAACAACTTCATTGCCCTGGTGATTCAGACCATTCTTACAGTTGTTGTCGTGGATTCGAGAGGCCTGGGGCTGGACATAGTGACTCAGGTAAGTGCTATTACCTTATATTCTATTTACTGCTTTGCCAATCCATCTTCAAAAGTTTACCAAGAAAGGTATTCCTATGCCAAAGGACAACTTAATTCCCTCTTTCTTCTATAGAAATTTGCACATCTTGTTCTTCTCACATGTCAGTCGTAATTCTTCCTTTTGCCTTTTAATGCATTTAGGATTACAGATGCTGGTCTTTGACTTTTTAAAAGTAGATACACCGGAACATAATTATTCAGGCCCTGTTATCTGACCAGTTTTGGTCACTGATAGGACACAGAATAACATCCTCTCCCCCTAAAAACTCAGAGTGGTTTTGTCAGATGCAGAATCAACATAACCACGTTATCAGTGCTGTTCAAACCACGAGACACAGCCTGGATTACTGGAGTTATTTCAGCTCAAGTGAAAAGGACATTGACTTCTAATTCCAGCTCAGGATCAAACCTGGTCTGTATCTCAACATGTGTAATAGTCTTCTGCCCATAGCCTGACCATTTAATTTGGGATGGGATATCCTATCTCACAACAGTGGCTGAGACTTCAGCCAGCCCAATGCCACCCATGTTGAAGTCACCTGAGATGTACTGACTTCTGCATTTTCTCAGATGGGCTCTCAGCTGGGGCAGCTTCCTACTCCCTTGGATTTGAAGAAGACTAAAGCTATCCAGATATTCTGCACAGAGAAGGCAAAAGTCACTGTAAAAGAATAAGGATTGAATCAAACATTAAAAATTAAATCTTTAAAATGAAAGGCAGTAATATGTAGGACCTCACAAATAGCCTTGCCACTGTTGTGGGAAACAGTGATACAAAGTCACAGTGTATTTACAGAAACCACTGTGGTGACAGCACTGAAATGTGCAAGTAAGAGCAAAACAAGAATGAACTCAGATTCTTCACTTACATTATTCATGACTACGTGGGTAATGAAGCTAATTCTATATTTTGCACTAATAGAAAAAAATTTCTGTTCCTATTCTGCTCCCCCTCTGATGTTTATTAAGAGGCATAAGGAATGGAAGCAAAGGGCAGTTCTTCATTCCACAAATATCTGCTGTTTGCTGGAAAAGCAAATCACAAAGCAAAAACTTGAACATAGAGAAACTGTGCCAGAACACAGGTAAAGAAAATCATAGTGTCTGTCGTCTCCAGAAGCAGCAGCATTTCCCTAAAGCATTTTTCATTAATTCTTCTGCCTTTTTCTCTCCCTCTCCCAGTTTTTAATTTATGGCAGCTACTTTGCAGTCATACACGGGATTTTCATGATCAGAAGCATTTGTGTGCTTGTCTCAAGCAAATGCAAAAGGAAAATAGCAAGATGTTGCAAAGAGCAGCTGAACCATGCTGAGCACGAATCCAGAGAGCAGATTGTTACAGGCTATTTGACATGGCTGTAGGAGGCAGGCAGGCTCCTTGGCCAGGCCCTCCTGGGAGAAGAGCTCAGGCTGCAGCATGCAGGGAACAGCAGTGCAAGAAGAACGTTCAACACAGCCCTGGAAAGCTGCGCTGAATCATTGCAGCACTTCAGCACAACATATGCCAGCTCAGAGCTCACATAACGGCCCTGTGCCAAGAATAAAAGCTAAATTGCTTTAAATTCTTATTTACTTGCCTATAAAGAGCTTAACAGCATAATTTATACACAGAAGCACAACCACCACCTTTTCATCTCCTCCCTGTGCACGATAGCAAAGATCAGAGTTCACCCTGCCTTGTTGTTCTGGCTCCTGTGTGCGGTGCTGGCAAAGCTGCTTCCAACCACATTTGCTCCTGCATGTGGGTGAAGGGTCTGTCCTCCCTTTGCACATCCCTTGTTCTGAATCAAGGAAGAAAGGATTGTGTCTGCATCATTATATTCTTTTCTACCCAAGTGCAGGCAGATGGGTTGACAGGCTCCTCCTGCCTAATTGAACAGCCCACGTCAGAGGGGGCCTCGTGCAGGGTTTGCACATCCCATCCCAGGGGTTTCACTCCAACACTGCTAAGCCACAGTTGTTGCTTGACCCACATTTGAAAGCTGCAACCACTTCACTGACTTCACAGAAATCTCTGCCGAGAAGCGAGAAACTTCCAAGTCCAAACAAAACGAAAGAGCCCCTCTTCTTTCCTGGTGCTCCCGGTAAAATTAAATTCAGGACTGACTGTCTTTCTATTTCAACAAGAAAAGAAAAAAGCTATCAAGGGGCTTAAGTAGTATGGACTAAAACTACAGAAGTAGAGAAATATGGTTGATTCCACACAGGAAAATTCCAGATTAACAGGAATATCCAAGAAGATTTATAACTGAAACAAACATCATGTGTGCTTTTGAATGCCAAGTGAGGGAGGTCCACTGATCTTGGCCAAGAATTTGGCAGGGTCAGCATCTCAGAATTTATCAAGAAACTTCAAGTCCTACAGCTAATTTAGTCCAACACAAAGGACAGTTAGTCCAGGAGAAGAAACAAGAGACTATAAATGAATTTTCATGGTGAATACCTAATTTAATATGATTGCTATCCATATACTAAAGTTGTTTCTGTACTGCTGTTTGCTTCTAGCTTCCAATACCTACACCTAAGTAATAAAAATAGAAAACATCTAGCATTTACAGAATAATATTTTTCCTGCAGAGACACAAGCTATCATTTGTACAGACATATCTGCTTTTTATACCAGTCACACATTGCAACTAGACAAAGTGCCCAGAGGTGAGGGCAGGCAGGAGAGAAGCCATTTGTTACAAGTCACAAGAAGAATTCAGTAGGATCTGACCAAATGAACCTGGCTAGATTTTTTAGGCTTTTTGTTTACTGTTGTGCATTGTGTGGACATTCTCTGTTGTAAACTGGCTCTAAGCAGAACAGTTTAATCAATACACTGATAAAATCAGAAGGTAATTTAGTTTGCATTGAGCAGTGAGTATCTTTTATTACTGCAGAACTGAGAGCACGATACTCCTGCGTGAAGAATGAGGGACAGAGTCCAGGAGAGCAAGGACTAATTTATTCTATTCTTCCTTGTGAGTGCCTTTTGAGGCATTTAGTTTAGAAGTAGGTGCCAGTCCTTGACTCGAAGTTAAAGAGACTTTGTATTTAAATGAAAAAGGAGGAACTTAATATTTTCAGCTCCATGGCCATGGTCTCAAACTGCCTTTGGCACAGAAAGTTGACAAATATTTCCATGTAGCATCTGACAAAAGGAATCGACAACATGTAAAACTTTTTTGTTATTACTTAAAAAAATAATGCCAGCAGTTGGCTGTAGGAAAGGAGCTAGAAAAACTGGTAGAAATAACCATGAAAATTCTTATGTTCTGATTAGAGCTCACTGCTTTCTCTGTGGGATGTCACTGAGGAGCAAAGAAACCAAGCAGACACAGTGTATTTGGCTTGCAGTTGTAGAGAGCCCCATCTTCAGAAAACAGATAAGACCTTAAAGAAAAAAAAATCTAATGCTATTCTCTCCAATTTCCGAAAGAAAGATTTTGAGTTTGGAAGTTGGGGGGAGCATTATGGGGGAAACAGAGGAGGAAGAGGGCAGTTCTTAGGACTGTTAGGAAGAGAAAGGCAAGGCCTTGTCTTACCCTGGACTTTCACAGGGTAAATTAATTCTGATTACACAAAGTAATCAGAATTAACCCAGCAATGAGAGATTTAATCTAAAAGAGTAAAATGCACACATCCACCTGTGTGTTTGTGTACCTACACACTCTTTGGAGAGAAGATACTTGAGGCTTGGCAGGTTATAAGCAAGGCTGGAACCACAGGCTGTCTAATTCTGCAGAAAAAGGAAACTCAACACATCCACCTCTCCTTGCAACTTTTAGTATTAAGTGCTGATCTTTCTTCCAGCATGTTAAAGGATTCCATGTAAACATGAAACTCCAGAGCTGGGCTCGTTGCTCCCCATAACTACAACCCCTCGAAATACAACACTAACTGCCTTTGGAACATTAGTGGGTTTGGGCCTAAGTCTTACGTGAAGACACAGTCCAGCAAGCTGGTAAGGCCAGTTTGGGCAAACAAGGAAGGAACAGAGTACTTTGGATTCAAAGCATGCAGGTATTGTCCAACCACTACCCAGGGCTACCAGAGAAACGCCAGCCAGCAGCCCCCTTCCAGCAGGCAGCACACCCACCCAGCAGCACCTTCTCCAGGGCTCCTTCCCCTCCTCAGAAGCCCTCGGTAAGGAAAGAGAAGGAAGTGCAGAGACAAACCTGGCCCCCCTGAGCACTTGCCTGCCTGGTTGCACCACACACTTGAGCACTGAGAGAACCTTCCAAACCTGCAGAACCGGACCAGGCCCTGCCGAGCTCACAGAGGGGCCCCTCCTGTGCCAGGGCCACAGCACCCACTGCCAGTGCCAACACACATCCTACCACCGGCCTCAGGGTTCACTCCATCCTCTAGTGAACCTCGGAAGACAGAGGGAGTCCAGTCTGAAAAAACAGGTACAGGAAAGCAAAGCAACAGCATTTCTCTAAAGCAGGTCTGTTTTGATTTTTTTTAGCTTAGAAGCCAGATTTAGAAGCTCATCTTATTGTCTGTTTGCCCTTAAATGACAGATCAGTCCTTATACAGAAGTAATTACTGGCCAACTAATAGTATGAGACATTCCATATCCTACCTCCCAACCCCTAGCAAGGCCAGCATGGTCAGAAGAGACCCCATGAGCCCAGAGGCCACTACACTATGCACAGGGGAGGGCCAGTGTTAGCCCAAGCTGTGCTGAACTGGTGCTCTGTCTTATCTATGAATCAGAGACCAGAGCTTTTAAAGGTATTTATTAACATAAAGAATGCAATCATTGATTGCTTTCTTGCCATGGCAGGTTTTATTAATCATTACCTACTGTATTATAGCTTTATCATAAAAATACAACTCAGTTTGCTGATAAAACCTGAAAAGGAGAATGCTTCCCCTACAATCTTCGTGGACAAGTTCTGCAAGCAAGAAGAGCTGTGATGAGTTAGTATTATTATTATTTAAATTCTGGTAACATTTCATCAAGTGTAGAAAGAATATTTCAGAAAAAAAAAGACACAGAAATTTCTTACTACCTAAAGGGTGGTTTCTGACTTCTCCTCTGCAAGACAAAGTCATCCTAGGAGGAACTGCACGAGTCCACGAGAAATGCACCACAGCCACAGGTTTATCAGGTAATTCATTACCTTTGGAGTTATTTGGGAGTGTGGTGGCTACTCACTTGCTCAGTGCATTTTGAGGTGATAAAACATTTATGCAGATGTTACTGATCAGCCCAGGATTTAATATATTTTTATTTCGAAAAGGTAACATATCAAAACATTTCAAATTAGGTTTTGAGTTAAAGGTAGTACAGGCTGTACTTTATATATAATGATTTGTAAGAGAAAGATGATAACAAAGGCAATCATTTAAAATCAGGTTTCAAGGATTAGGGCTGGTTTTTGTAACGTTCCTCTGAGGTCACAGAAATACTGTCTTTATAACATACTATTTATGCTAAGTTTTAATAAATACAATCTTACAGTGCAAGTAGAAGTACTTTTGAAAAAGTGCCTGCTAAAAAGTGGAATTCAACAATTTAAAAGAAATAGCTTGTAACTGCATGATTAAACATCAGTTAGTGCTTTGCTTTCATTCCCTTATGATTCAGAACATTCTTATTTCACTTGTTTTCAGGATCAGTGAAACTGACTTTTTAATGCAAAACAAGTAATATAAGCTTAAAAAACCAAATCTCTTAAGACTTTTTTTGCTGCTGACTACGGTGAAGGAAGAAGTCTCCTTCTTTTCCTTTTGATCATCATTTCTAAAAGTGAAGTCAAGTTTTCTCTTTTCGAAGTCTGAGCAGGTACCACGAGCAGATGGTTTCTGTGTCTTTTCTCTACCCTCTCAAATGACTGGAGTGCAAGAAATATGATGAATGTTAAAGCACTTTGAAGAAACCGAGCTCGCTTGCAGTGGGCTGAGCTGACTGGTGGCTTCTTTTGTCTGCGAGAACACTTGCACTGTCATTGTGCCACTTGGCACTCAGGCTGCATATCAACAGCACCCTGAGAATGAACTTTAATCTTACAGTCTGCCCACTCATTTATTTGGAAATGAGACTGTAATGGAACCTCATTCTTCCCCTGCAGCACGTGCACCCAGCCCTAAGTACCTCACTGAGAACAACCTTTGACAGACAATAACAGAGACCAGTTTACCACGGCCAACGCACCTTGATCTGAGTTATTCATTTACAAGCTGCATCTGTGATCACAGGCAGGGTCAGTGACAGAAACACTGGCTCAGGCTGTGTCACAGCTGGAGTCACTCCACTCCTGAGACAGACACAACAATATCCTCTACTGATCTATCAAAGTTCAACGGTAAATGCGACAGTGATTTAACAAGACTCGACAGCAAGGTAGGCTTGACTTAGTGCACAGAGGACAAGGTAAGACAGAACTGGCGGGGAGACCCTCTTGTTAAGTCACAGGATTCTAAACTTCTCGCAGAGAGGAGTCAAGGTGCAGCTAGACCCACTGCTAGTCCCAGATTTGGTCAACTGCCTAGGTCTAAAGGATTGTACATGTGCAGTCAGTCCTCAGCCAAGATTTCAAAGCTGAGCGCACTATTAGTCACTTCCCAAGGATCTGTTGTGGCAAGAAATTTCTGGACCTCAAGGAGTAACTGCGAGAGGTGTCCCTGCCCACAGGGAGATCCAGGTGTACAGCTCCACTGCTGTTCAGGAGAGTTCAAGATCATTGACGTACAGTTACATCTGCACATCAGCAAGACCTCTGTGTCACCATTTCAGGCAGCCATCGGCTATCACATTGCCATCTGTCCCCCAGTGTCCAATTAAACTGGATGCCACCTTCACAGCCCCCGCTTAAGGGTCCAGCATTGTAGGTTTAGTTAAAAAGTAAACTTGCAGATGAATTTTTACCAGTTGTGAAGAGCATCTGTTCATTTCTTTGCCACCTTTTTTTCTTTTAGGTAGGCTATGGATTCCTGGAAGGAAGCCATAAGCCACAGCTGGATTTATCCCACGGTGATCATCTGTGCAAATGGATTTTTCACCGCAATGAAGCCATCAGATTCTTTTGTCACCCCTTATCTAACGGGGCCAGACAAAAACCTAACGATTGAAGAGGTATGTAACTATCCTCTTAAGTAATAATTAAAATGCTTAAAGCATTAAGCCTTACAGCAATAACTGAAGGGAAGATGAAGTGTTCAGTAATACAGATATATTTTATCTAGAGTCTCACGTTTAAGATGCTTCTGGGAAAGAGTAAGGAGTCACCTCTTTGGCAGAAGGTCAAAACATTAAACACCCCACATTCTTAGGACTTTGAAACAACTACTCTTTGGTAGTTGTTTAAGAGATTGGTATTTTTGGCAAAATCAGGTCAGCTAACTCCTCTCTCCAACGCAGAACCCCAGAGGAGGGGCAACACTGACATTTATTTATACTTATCATGGAACTGGTTACACCAACACACTGTGGTGGTGTGTTACCACACACTGATAGCAAATCATAAGAAAACTAAACAACCTTCCCCTTATGAGCTGTTAAAATTATTACCTACATTACTGGGATGTTTTATGCATTAACCTGTGGAGGTCAGGTTCACATTCAGAAAAGTGGGGTTTTTTTTGAAAAAAGCATGCACTGCAAGTTTTCTTGCTCTGCTCCTCTGTTCAGCACTGGCTGCTTCAGGAGTACACTTCCCAGGAAAAGGTGCCATAGTTGACACGTGGCTGAGTCATGGAGCTAACAGTATAATTAGAAAACACAAGCTTGGTACACCCACATACAGCTAATATGAAGAACAGTAATTCCTGCTGCACAGTAGCAAATGTTAAGGCAGAATCTACCAGCACACCCAAGGTTTCTTCTGAGAAAAGGTATTTGTGGTTTAAGTCATTAGGGTTTATTTTCTCCCCCTTTTTTATTATTATTCTTTTTTAATCACAAAGGGAAGTTTTATATAAAATGCACAATGAGGATCACAGAATGCCTTAATTCTGATTTCAACAAGAATCCTTAACTCAAAAATAAGTGTAGTACAGATAATAGTTCTTTCAGCCGAACTCACCTCCAGTGAGCTAATTCTATAACGTAATTTTAAGTCAAACACTTAGAAATTCTAATTAAAGTTCAGAGAAACAAAAAAAGTCACACAGAAAGATACAGTGAACCAGCTGCTCACCATGCAACTCACTCCAGTACCTGTTCAGAAGTAAAAAGATGACCACCTACTATTGTGTCCAGCATTTCACACAGTTCCTTTCTAGTCTCTGTTTAAGCAGAGAACAAGTGATCAGGAATGAACACCCCCAGCAGAGCCCATAATTACTGGGTGAGACCTCCCCAAAACAGCCAACTTACAGAAAAAGCTCATTTTATGATGTGCATCTAAAAGCAGACATCTGACCTAGGTGTACCCAAACTGCCTGGGCAAGCACTGAGCTTTAGTGGCGACTGCAAACAGCACCTTCCAACCCAAATGCAGAACAGTTTTAGAAAAAAGAGAAAGAATTTGTTTTCAGAGCATCTATATACTTGAGTCCAGCTGAAACTTACTGAAATACTGCTTCCTCAAAGACTTACTTACTTCTTACACATTAAACTGAAAGAAAACATAGATGGTGCAGATAACCTGGTAGCAGCTACACATTCACCATGTGCAGTTCCAGTTACATTGTACGAGGCACGTGCTGCTTTTTTCAGTCCGATTTTAACAAGGGAAAGAGGTAACCAAAGGTATACAATGACTCATGTAAAAAGTTAAAACTAAATAGGTGTTAATTTCCAGCTACTGTTGGGAATAGGATTTGAAGCTAGACAGCCTTTCCTCTGACACACAGTTACAACTGCTTTAAAGAGCTGGATATCAAAATCTGCCTTCCTTATAGGCTTTTACTAGAATTTTTAAGCCAATCCACCCGTTTCTGTAGCAGAGTGTAGCATCACTATCTTTGCCCCTTATGTAGCACATTTACAGTAATGTAACTGAAAGCAGTTTAAGTCTGCACTGTTTACCTAATTCAGTGTTTCCTGTGACCACAACTACGTTGTTTCCTCAATAACATAACTGTAAATCTAAAAAAAAAAAATCAGTATTTTATGTGCTTGGGGTTTTTTTTTAAATATTTCCTTCTTTCTTCTGTTCTAGGTTACCAACCAGATTTTGCCCGTTTGGACATACTCTTACCTCGCCCTCCTGTTCCCAGTCTTCCTGCTCACAGACTACCTGCGCTACAAGCCCGTCCTCCTCCTCCAGGGCATCACCCTCATCGTCACCTGGCTCCTGCTCCTCTTCACACGCGGAGTGCTGGCCATGCAGGTGGTGGAATTCTTCTACGGGCTGGTGACGGCCACTGAGGTGGCCTATTACGCCTACATCTACAGCGTGGTCAGCACCGACCGCTACCAGAGGGTGACGAGCTACTGCAGGAGCAGCCCTCTGGTGGCAGCCACTGTTGCCGCCGTGCTGGGACAGCTGCTGGTGTCCTTGGCAGATGTGTCCTACTTCCACCTCAACACCATTTCTTTGGCTTCCGTGTCCCTGGCCTTCCTGTGTGCGTTTTTCCTCCCCATGCCCCAGAAGAGCATGTTCTTCCACAGGAAAGATGCCTCCCAGTCTCTCCCAGGGCCTGACATAGTTGAGGCTCTGGCTGGTTCTGACCGTCCCTCGAGCTGCCAAGAGGACACGAGCCCCGACTCCGCTGGCAGGGGCCCAACACCCCAACAGCAGGCTGGGAATGCCAAGCCCCGGAATCACATGCTCAGAGTGCTGGTGCAGCTGAGCAAGGACCTGAGGGATTGCTACAGCTCCAGGAAACTTCTCTACTGGTCCCTGTGGTGGGCTCTGGCTACAGCCGGCTTTTATCAGGTCGTGAATTATATCCAAGTGCTGTGGGACTTCCGAGCCCCCTCTCACAGCTCTGCAGTGTACAATGGAGCTGTCGAAGCACTAGCAACTTTTTTAGGTAAGTAAAAGATAATTAGTAAGTAAGTAACTGACCCTGCGCTGAGGCATTCTTCAGCATGCCTTTGGTGCCTTTCCATCTCATATGAGGACTAGGGTCAACAGCAACAGCCTGACATGTAACACCCAAATAGGGTGCAAAGCACGTTTTTTTCTATTAACTTATTATCAGTGGGCTTCTCAAAAATTATACATATATATATATAAAAAAAAACTTTTTCTTTCTAGAGGAACCTTATTCCACCTAAGTGCTTTAAGAGTTTAAGTTCACAGCTCTGTTTAGACCAGGAATTTAACCCCAAGCACTTTGAAAGTCTGTGCAACTAACCTTGTATATACCTCTCTCAAATACACCTTAAGCTGGCAAGTTTAGGAATTAAAATAACACACTAACAGATACACTGTTCTAAATGGTCTGTTTAGACAGTAGATTAAAGATCATTTCAGGCTAAGTGCTCCTCAGCAAATATTCTGTGCTGCATCTATATCCTTATCAGCAAGTTTGCCTCTGGATATGATATACAAGGAGAGACTGAGAGCACTGTAATTATTTAGCCTTGAGAAAACAAGGGATTTCATTAATGTGCATAAAGACTTGAAGGGGAGCAGCAAAGAGGACAGAGCCAGGCTCTTCCCAGTGGTGCCCAGTGACAGGACAAAAAGCAAGGGGCACAAAATCCAGCACAGGAGGGCCAATCATGTCCAGGGGGGGCATCAGGTAAAGCAGCACCAGCCAGCTGAGGGAGGGGATTGTCCCGCTCTGCTCTGCGATGGCCTCACCTTAAATATTGTGGCAGTTTTGGGTGCCACAATATCAGAAAGACATTAAGTTCTTAGAGAGTGTCCAAAGGAGAGCAACCGAGATGGTGAAGGGCTTTGAGAGGAAGCTGTGTGAGGAGCAGCTGACGGCACTTGGTCTGTTCAGCTTGGAGGAGACTGAGGGGAGACCTCATTGCAGTTACAACTTCCTCCTGAGGGGAAGAGGGGCCAGCACTGATCTCTGTGGTGACCAGTGACAGGAGTTATGTCAAGAGAGGTTTAAGTTGGATATTAGAAAGAGGTTCTTCACCCAGAGGGTGGTTGGGCACTGAACAGGCTCCCCAGGGCAGTGGTTCACAGCATCAAGCCTGACAAGAGTTCAGGAAGCATCTGGATGATACTCTCAAGAACATGGTGTGACTCTTGGGGATGGTCCTGTGGAGGGTCAGGGCTTGGACTCCATGATCCTTGTGGCTTCCTTCCAACTCAGCATATTCTGTGATTCAAAGTTCCACTAAAACATATAAGAAGATTTTTATTGTAAGGGTGATTTAAAACAGCAACAGGTTGACCAGAGGTGTGGACTCTCCATCTGTGGACATACTGAAAACCTAGACAGCATCCTGAGCAGCTTGCTTTAGTTGACTCAGCTTTTAGCAGGGCCAGGTGATCTCCATCCATCTCTCATTAGTTCCTTGGTCCATCCCAATGACATTTCTCTTTGGCCGCAGAACAGAAGGCTATGGCCAAAGTGAAACTTCTTTTACATGACTGTGCAGTACCAATGGAGCTTCCTTTTTGAGGTCTCATTTACACATC